GGTTCAAGCTTCATGTAAAGTATAAGCACACCTTCCGAAGAACGAGCTTGCAAATCCAGGGCTCGCGAATAAGTAGATATGTGTTGAAGCGTTGATTACCCCCGCATTTCGTTCATGACATCCTTTTCACAGAGATGCTTTTTATTGATCTCGTTAGCTTCACGATCATGCTTGGATCAGGCGGCTCAGGGAACGATAAAGTAGTCTCCTATTTCGTGCTTCTGTTGCAGGTACAGCGCTTTGTATCCTCTCAGAGCGGTACGATTGCAACCAGTCATTCGACTTTCGATTCGGGTGGTAGAAACTGATTTTTCTTTTTTGATAAACAAGCTACATATGCATGAATCATTATTTATCTCCGCAATAGTTTCTTCTCATTTACATCAACTGAGAAGGTACGCTTATCAGATAAGTACATTTCGTTATCTATTAACCGACTCAACTCCCAAGCAGATGTTGGAAAATATTGGGCCCGGTGCGTGCTTCGGGCGAGCATATAGAATACTTACATACCTGGGATCCGCAGTACATACGCAGCCATAGCACGGCTTTTAAAACTATTCATCAATCGAACCCTTTCTTGCATCCGTCAAAGATTCATTCCGGAGACCCCGGAAAAATGGCTTCCAAACAACAATATTGAACCCGGATTTATAATCAGAAAATGGAGTCAACTTCCAGCTTTGCATTTGACGTTGTAGGTAAGCCGGAGAGGTGAGCAAAATAGCGCGATACCGAGTCGTAACGTGGAGGCCGGATGTCAGGAGCAGATGCAAAAATAGAACAGCGTAGTGGCGACGGGAAACAATGATGTGACGAAGTGTGACAATGTGGCTTACGGATATATTGCGCACAGCGACGACATCGACGACGACAACAGGACGTTGAGCCTCTTTCTTTCATTCATCTGCGCAGGCGCACCGACACACCAAACTTTCTTCTCAGTTTCTGCGCGGGCGGCAATATCGTTCACGCACCTCGGAAGAATCACTTGGAACCACCTTACTAATCCCGGAGCCCCTTGACACATCCGTTTTCGCACAACTAATTATCCCTCCCAATTCCATCAGGCCCGTATGACCACCTTAATAACCAACCTGTGGCAGAGGTCGCCTCTATCAGCGACCTTCGCTCGGCCATCTTCCAGTCGTCCCCCAATGTCCCCGGAACCACTGTTGGGCGAGTATGACAAGCGGGACGAATACACCACTGACGACCAGATATCGCAGAGATGCGAGCTTCGGGTCGAAGGGATGACATGCGACGCTTGTGCAAAGGTGCGTGCCTTTCCTACTCTGCCTGCATAATCTGACCCAATAGTCAGGCGATCGAAGTTATGCTCAAAGGCCAGAAAGGCATTCACCTTGTACAGGTCAACGAGACCATAAAACTTGCAGTTGTGGACTGTGACCCCCAATTCTGGACAGCAGATAAACTCATCAACGTATGTGCCCGCAGCAAGGTATTGCGAGTCTTCTTTCGAGTCTGACATGTCCACACAGGAAATCTCTGCCATAGGCTACAGTGCAAGTTTCATCTCAATGCGGCAAGCGCCTTCTCGGTCAGAAAAATGCGAGCTTCGGGTGGAGGGAATGACATGTGGATCATGTGTGGAGGTGTGTATACCTCTCCGTATTAGCCCTTCCTTGCTTATACATTGCAGGCCATCGAGGGTATGCTAAGAGACCAAAAGGGCATCCATTCAATAAAGGTTGCACTCCTTGCAGAACGTGCAGTCGTCGAGTTTGAGCCTGAACATTGGACTGTTGACAAACTTATCGATGTCAGTCTCATTGGTCTCTCCTTGCCCCAGCACTGACTTTGCATAGGAAATATCGGACATCGGGTTCGACGCAACACTGATACCGCCCACGCGAGCTGATGTCGTCCAACTCCGCATTTATGGCATGACATGCTCCTCATGCACAAACACAGTCGAGACAGGACTGTCAGCTATCCCAGGCATCACCAACGCGTCGGTCACCCTTGCTACGGAAGCGTGCACTGTTCACTTCGACCGTTCCGTTATCACTCCTCGAGAAATCGTCGCTCATATTGAAGACATGGGCTTTGATGCCATTCTTTCCGATCAGCAGGATGCCACCCAACTACAATCCCTCACACGTATGAAAGAAATCCTAGAATGGCGGTCCCGGTTCATATGGAGTCTCGCTTTCGCCATTCCTGTGTTTTTCATCAATATGATTGGTCCCAGGATACCTGGAGTCAAGGGGATTTTGGCATTCCGTCTTTTTTCTTCTATTTATCTAGGCGATCTCTTGTCTTTCATCATCACCACACCTGCCCAATTCTGGATTGGTGGTCGATTCTATCGGAATGCGTACAAATCCCTCAAACATCGCTCGGCAACCATGGATGTGCTGATCGTTTTGGGCACTTCAGCCGCTTATTTCTACTCATTATTCACCCTGATCGCAGCCGTCTTTAATACGACGCCAGGGTACCGCCCCCACATGTTTTTCGAGACGAGTACCATGCTGTTCATGTTTGTTTCTTTGGGACGATACCTGGAGAACAAAGCCAAGGGCAAGACCAGCGCTGCTCTTACGGATCTTATGGCCCTCGCTCCCTCCATGGCCACCATCTACACAGATGTACCGGCTTGCACACAGGAAAAGAAGATCGCAACCGAGCTCGTAGAAGTCGGCGACATCGTCAAGATTGTCCCAGGTGATAAGATCCCTGCAGATGGTGCAGTCGTCAAGGGCTCATCAACTATCGACGAGAGTGCTATCACTGGTGAAGCGCTCCCCGTGACGAAACTTGTGGGCGATCTGGTCATTGGGGGAACTGTCAACGGGTTGGGAACCTTCGACATGTCCGTCACCCGTGCAGGGAAGGACACCGCACTCTCGCAAATTGTGCGGCTAGTTGAAGAAGCACAGACGTCGAAGGCGCCCATCCAGGCTTTCGCGGACAGAATCGCAGGTTACTTTGTGCCCACCGTGATCAGTCTGTCGGCGCTGACGCTGGTCGGGTGGGGCTTCCTGAGCACGTTCATGGACGATGACTCCCTCCCGGCGATGTTCCACTCTTTCGGGACAAGCAAACTTGCGGTGTGCATCCAGATGTGCATCTCCGTAATCGTAGTTGCGTGTCCGTGTGCCCTCGGCCTGGCGACGCCGACGGCGATCATGGTTGGCACCGGAATTGGCGCCCAGAACGGCATCCTCATCAAGGGCGGGCGGGCACTGGAGGCCAGCAAGAGCATCCGCAGAGTCGTTCTTGACAAGACGGGCACTGTTACTATCGGAAAGCTGACTGTCATGGGTATGCACTGGGCACTTAACCCACAGCAAGGCGCTGGTATCAATACTGAATTGTACGCGGGTGACACGGAATTGGAAGGGTTCTGTGCCGACGGCGTTACGGAGCGCAAGGACATTGTCGCTATGGTCAGCGCCACCGAAGCTCGCTCTGAACACCCGCTTGCCAAGGCTATCGCAACCTACGGTAAGGAGCTGCTCGGTGCGTCCGGACAAGAGGCCGTAGTGGAGGAGTTTGAAAGTGTCACTGGACAGGGAGTCAAGGCCAAGATCCAATGCCACGGCAAAACGCAGACACTGCTCATCGGTAGCGCACGATTCATCACCTCCACAGGTATTGGCAATATTCTAGAGGCCGACGACGAAGTGCATCGGTACGTACCGGCGTCGTTGGCCACATACGAGGACCAAGAGACGAAAATTGGACGCACCATCATCTTTGTGTCGCTATTGAACGGATCAGGCAAATCGGCCTATCCTCAGCCCATTCTTGCCGTTTCATTGGCGGATGCACCTAAACCGTCGAGCCGATACGCAATTCTGGCTCTGAACAATATGGGCATTGAAGTGAACATGATGACGGGCGATGGAAAGGCAACGGCGATTGCAATTGCGAAGCAAGTCGGCATCCGACCTGAGAACGTCTGGGCCGGTATGAGTCCGAAGGGAAAGGCTGCCGCGATAGCTGAGATGATGGAGCAACGCTTGGGTGGGGTTGCAATGGTATGTTCACAAGATTTTATGTGTGTGCATTGCAACCTAATTCTATGGTTTAGGTGGGAGATGGCATTAACGACTCTCCAGCTCTGGTAGCAGCTACTGTCGGCATCGCACTCTCGTCCGGCACGTCTGTAGCCATCGAGGCTGCCGACATTGTCCTCATGCGGTCAGATCTCCTGGATGTGGTCGCAGCCCTGCACCTCTCGCGCAAGATTTTCTCCGTCATTCGACGGAACCTCGTCTGGGCATGCATATACAACGTCCTCGGGATCCCGCTAGCGATGGGCTTCTTCCTTCCTTTCGGCCTATACATGCACCCCATGCTCGCTGGCGCGGCGATGGCGTTCTCCTCGGTGAGCGTCGTCTGCTCGTCGCTCACGCTGAAGTGGTGGAAGCGCCCTGCGGACAGCGTCATGCCTAGCAACAACATCATGCCTGGCGTCGGGGCCATTGCGCTTGCGCCCACGCCAAGCGGTGCTCCGGACAGCGGCGCTGGATGGACGGGCATGTTCCTGGATAGCGCCGCGAGTGTGCTGGACACATCGCGCATCCGGGCGATGTTCTCTCCCAGCCGACAAGACGAGTATGGGTACAGCCAGCTGCCCGTAGAAATGGGGGAGAGAAGCGCTGTTTGAGATATTTATGGACCGTGCGGTGGATCTTGTAAGACTAGAGCTGAGATTGAGGATGTAATTTTGTGGAATCGCATTGCTGTTGACTTTATTTAAGTAAACGTGTAGAGTTATGTAGTCCCCTACCTTCGTTATTTGGGCACTTGGTTTCGTTATTACTGTCTTTGCCACCAGACCGTAGTTATTCTGATTTAATACCTATCCAATTTATTTGTTAGTCAAGTTTCAACGTTTCAACTGTCACTCGTGAGTCTGGACTGCGACTCAGACTTCAAAGTTCAGTGTCTCCGTTCAGTGTGCACTGTGTCTCCCGAATCCCGATCCAGGCTCACCGAAAAGATGCCTAAAAAAAGGGCAAAAATGGGGGCACCGCGAATCGAACGCGGGACCTTTAGAACTTCAGTCTACTGCTCTCCCAGCTAAGCTATGCCCCCCGATGCAGCTTTACAGAGAAGAAAAAGTTAAAGGAGGCGTAGAAGAGGGAAAGCAAACTCAAGGGTCGGAGCCGGGAGTTTCGGACGGACCCACTAATAATAGATGTGGCACGATAATCTATTTATAGGCTCAGACAGGTGTTCGCTCGCGCCGGAGACACAGTCCTTCAAACTAACCGCGACCATGTTCTTGGCTTCATATCACTTGTCAGGCTAGTTTATGGAGTCAAATATGGCTTCGAGTGAGTCAATAAACCGTGGCAAGGGAAAATCTACACGATGTGTGAGCTCGAACCAAGGCCGAGGACAACACCCCCCAGGCCGCCCCGAGGCCAGGCATTGCAGCTACGCGCTCGCACGTATCGCGGATCGTCTGGAGAATAGTGGACTCAACAGCACATCGCTGTCCAATGCACCCACATTGTTTATCCCTCTAAGTCGACCTTCTGTTCGAATTAGCATACTTCGGTTCATCAGTTTTGTCTTGAGCATATCTATGCTCATCATTGGCACAGTGGTCCTTCAATGGATCAGGGAGCACCAGGGGACTTAGTGGCGAATGTCGAAATATTGAAGACTCTGCGAATAAATTGGCTGTAGGCGCTGCGTAACCTGACCCACCACGAGTCAAATGACGCCCAACTCTTGTGGCTACTCTGCATGCACAGCATGATTCGCCCCCAGAAAAAGGAATATCTAAATTATCAAGAAATTAAATGATAAACAATCCACGATTGTGGCGAGTTGTATGGACATTGCGAAGGGGTGTCCTCTTTCCACGATGGCTCTGAAATAGTGAAAAAGAAGCTTTGAAGGACTGGGAGGAACGTGGTGATAAGAATAAAAAGAAACGCGAGTGAAATAAAGACGGTGACGGTAGTAACGAGTGTAGGACTTATGGTAAAAAGGTAGACAATAATACCTGAAAATAAGAATACAACAGTCAAAAGGAGAAGAAAAGGCAGTCCCGATATGATCTGTGGAACATACCACCTCTTTAGCGCCTCGGTTCGCTTATGAAATATGGCTACTTTCTCCTTCGCCGATAAATCATCATTGTACCGCTGGCTTCGACGTTTCCAAGACGTGTCCAACACGGCGTTGGCATCCGACAGCGTTTCCCCCCTGCGCAAGCGCAACCAGCTTTGACACAAGCATTACTAGAGCAGCTAGGTCTACGGCAGGTGCTGTAAGAGTGGTCCCTTACAGCCATATATAGCGCTGGGTTTAGAGCACCGAGGCCAGCAACCAGGTCGACACGACATCGGACATCCACAAGTTGCATGATGAGAACATGATGCTTTTTCTCTGGCTCCCAGGAAATCGTACATACCCGGATCCTATCGCTCGTGGTGTTGCCTCCCATCTCCTCGAGCTCTAGTCTCGCAAGCTTGGCTACACCATGACCCAGGGGCCTTTAGAAGATACCCGTCAGGTTGACGATCGCGAGGCGTTTGGGTTGTCCAGGATTCGGAAGCAATACAAGCCCAGCGTTACCGACACACCCTTCGTACTTCCATGTACGATTGAGCTCCACCACCGAGTATCAACAGAGGTCATAGAAGGTGAGGGTCTTCTCTGGAGATTATACCATTGGTGATTGGTCATCCAAGCTTTTAATGTATGAAGCAAAGATAGCGAAACTCGTTAAACAAGTTGAGGTCGTTACACATCCACAGAGGACAGCAGACTTGAAAGAGACACAATATTAGCAGGCAAACATCACCACTCAAATAGTCGAATCGAAAACAAAGCAAATAACATTCACTTTTCTGCGGGAAATCAAAATTGCAATCGATCCTGTTTCCACAACGTTAGCGGAAGACGATCATGATATGGAAAACGAGAATACCAGGACAGGGCTCAGTCTAGTAGAGAGCGAAAAGCAGGAGAGGTTTCAGGATATGGATGTGTTGTCGGCCCGAGGAAGTCAAATTACTGCCCCGAATCTTCAAGAATATCAAGACATGCATGACGAACAGCAAAGTCGCGGGAGATGACAAATTGGTTACAATTGGAATGCGCAGTCGGACAGCATTCAAGCCGAGCCTGACAGAGCAGATGCGGGATGGGAGATACGAGGCTTTCAATCCTATGGCGAGGCCAACGATGGGAAGGCAGCATTTATTTCCCAGAGTGGTCAGGTCCGCCGAGAAGAGAAGGGCCAAGAATTCCGATCACAGGCAACCCTCACCTTTGAACAGCGACAAATGTGGCTCAGCTCGAAGAACGACCAACATGACTCACAGGTGGCTCGCAAAGAGGAGTGGCAAGAGCACAAACAGGTTCAAGACATGCAAACTCTCCAAGTTGATTTTCGGAACGACCAGGGTTTCCAGATTTCCAGTCTGCAGAGGTTCGAAATGTCGGAAGAGAGGAAGAGGCTGGAGTACCAGGAGAGTCAATGGCGTCAAACTCAAAGATTCTCTGGAACTTCAGAGACGTACAAACCGCCACGATCCAGACATTCAACACATCCAATATCTCAGAATTTGACTCCTATGGGAACAGTTGGAGCCAGCAGAATCACTTGAGCTGAACGTCTGATGCGACGGAGCACAACCAGATAGACGGGAATCTGTTCTATTAGGAGGTTGGGGGTCGGTGTGTAATACTTATTATTGTTGCTGTATTTTCTTCGTCTTGTTTTCCTTGATTCTGTAAACTTGATTCTGTAATAATATTTCGGTGGACATTTTCCTACACTAGATGCCGATGAGCGCTGAGCGCGAGCATTGACAGACCGGCTGAATGGTTCGCCTCATAGGTGTGGAGAGATCACGTCGGAAATTGAAGTTAGAGTCGAGATTTTCTGGATCAATGCTTTGTATTTCGCGGAAAATTTGAGTCGAGGGGGCTGTGGGGATTTGTAGTTGAAAGTTAACTTGACAGAGGGCCTGCGATGAATGATTTGACGGTCACTCCTATAAATAAAGCGTGGGAATTTCGATCAGAAATTTGCCATTCGTCATTTCAGCAGCTAACGTCGTCGCGGCATAATATATTCCCCAAAGGCCTTCGTTTCCCCTCAAAATAAATTCATTTGAATGCGAAAACAACTCGACCCGCGGATTCCCATCCTTATCAACAATAATGTCAAGCAAACTCATCGTTCGTTCATAGTGCTCGTTGGCGATAAAGCTCGCGACCAGGTGGGTATCTCGCTATTCCTGAAATATATTTACTTGTTGATACAATTCGGGAATAATTATCGTAGATCGTCAATCTCCATTTCCTCCTCTCGCAGGCTCGCGTGTCCGCAAGGCCATCTGTCCTATGGTGCTACAAGAAGGAACTCGGGTTTACTAGTCATCGTAAGAAACGGGAGGCAAAGATCAAGAGGGACGTTAAGAGAGGCGTGCGGGAAGCCAACGAGCAAGATCCCTTCGAGATTTTCGTTACTGTTACGGATATCCGTTATACGTGCGTAGCGACTTTTCATCTGGTTTCCCGCGTCTGACTTTTGTCGTCTCCAGTTACTACAAGGAATCTCATAAAATTCTTGGAAGCACGTATGGCATGCTTGTGTTGCAGGACTTTGAGGCCATTACACCTAATCTCCTGGCCCGAACGATTGAAACGGTAGAGGGTGGTGGATTGGTGGTGCTATTGTTGAAGACGATGACTTCATTGAAGCAGCTATATACCATGACCATGGTGAGCACTACGTCCTATCTGCGTTCTATGACGCTGAAATCTTCTGTAGGATGTGCATTCGCGCTATCGAACATCATCTCATGATTCAGTAGTGGCTCGGTTCAACGAACGATTCATCCTATCTCTCGGTTCTTGTCCCGACTGTCTCGTATTGGACGATGAGCTAAACGTTTTGCCTATCTCTCGTGGAAAGGACATCAAGCCCATCGAAGATACACCCGGGAAAGGAAAAGAGACGGACCCTGCCGATTATCAGCTGCGCGAGCTCAGAGAATCTCTGGAGGACGTCAAACCCGCCGGGGATCTCGTCAAGCTTGCTAAAACTATCGACCAAGCACAGGCCATCCTCACATTCATCGATGCCATAGCCGAGAAGACTCTGTCGTCTACTGTTACACTTACTGCTGCCCGCGGGCGAGGTAAGAGCGCGGCCCTTGGTCTGGCGATCGCAGCTGCCCTGGCTCACGGTTATGCCAACATCTTCGTTACGAGTCCAAGCCCCGAGAACTTGAAAACTCTGTTCGAGTTTGTGTTCAAGGGACTGGATGCTCTTGGATACGAGGAACATCTGGACTACGACATTGCCGTCGCTCAAAATGTGGGAGAGAACAAGGAGGAATCGGGTAAATCGGTTGTCAGAGTTAACCTTTTCAGAGATCATCGCCAGACTGTCCAGGTAAATGTGTTTTCTCCAATCCCAAATTTCTTCTGCTCACGCGGTTTTGCAGTACATTCAACCTCAGGACGCTCATGTTCTTGGTCAAGCGGAGTTAGTCATTATCGACGAAGCAGCCGCTATTCCTCTTCCTCTCGTCCGCAACCTTATGGGACCATATCTCGTCTTCCTGGCTTCGACAATCAATGGATATGAAGGCACCGGTCGCTCTCTTTCCCTCAAACTCATCCAACAACTCCGCGAAAGCACACGTCCATCACTGACGAAGGACGTCAACAACACCGAAAAGGAGGAAGCCATCACCACCACCACCGGCTCCACCAGCAAAAAGCCAACAGTCAAAGCCGCCCCCAAAACGCGCACGCTGCGCGAGATCAAGCTCGAGACGCCTATCCGTTACTCGTCCGGCGACCAGGTCGAGAAGTGGCTCAATGGCCTACTGTGCCTCGACGCGACAATCCTGCCGCGCGCGAACGCGCAGGGCTGCCCGCACCCATCGACCTGCGAGCTGTTCTACGTCTCGCGCGACACGCTGTTCAGCTACCATCCCGCGTCGGAGGTGTTCCTGCAGCGCATGATGGCGCTGTACGTCGCGTCGCACTACAAGAACCAGCCGAATGACCTGCAGCTCCTGTCCGATGCGCCCGCGCACCACCTGTTTGTACTG